GGAGAATGAGTTGAATGGACTGGGGTTGATCGAGTGGCATGGCTCGGCCATGCAGGCGTGGTCCATCTCAATGTTACTTTATATCTTCTATTCATATTAAATATATTGTTCTTTCTCTAGCCTAACCTTGTTCTACATAATGTATTGGTAATTGATACGATACAGTGAGTTGGTGTAGTCGATGGTGTGACTTCCACGTAAGATCTTATAGATTAGGCAGTTATATCATGACGAATCTACAAATTTAGGATTAGGTCTATTATTAGAGCAGTACTAATATCATAGTAGACCATAGTTCTACATTGGTGAGCCCAACTAAAGAAACGCAACCTATTATTATTAATCCTTATTTCCACTTCAACTTTCTCGATCGATTTTATATTTATGTTAACACTTTATTCTAATAGTCCTCTGATTAATGCTCACATGCATTATCGTAATGTTATATTGATTAGTCCTCATGACAAACTAGCTCAATCGATAATAAAAACTGGTCGTCTATATTAACTAATTAGCTTTGATGGTTTGTTAACAAGCTGTAATAGCATTTACATGCTTCAGCGACATAGTCTTGTTTGAACATCAAGCTCTAGCAAATATGACCTGTAAATAGCGTAAATATACATTGACTAACAATGCGATCAAGGACTAAATAGTTATCTGGATCTAATTCTCAGTGTTCCTTCACTTAACACCTCATCCTGTTTTAAACGATGCACTATCCTGTAATATCTTTTCTTCCGACCACTGCCTGCCTAATTTCATATTCTCGAGTTCCATTGCCGAACAACGAGGATGACTACTCCAAAAACATACGGTGAGTTTCAGCTATAAGTTTTCTGCAATCATTTTTAGATGGTTCGTTCAATGACAACCATACAATTATCTGGATTCATTCGATTGTTCTGATCCGAGCGAGTGTCAAAAACCTCAACAGCATCAAGCACCCTGGAATTAATTGCCATACTGCATGTTTTATTCTGGATGCTTTTGGATCAATACTACTCACGAATGGCAGTATATATGTCGTCCACTGAATAATCTAATTTTCAAAAATAATCCAGGCGAGTTCAACTATTTTACTGGATGATTTTTTTTTGTACTTAAGATGTATATGTTTTTCAGTTGCTTTTGCCATATATTTGTAAGTGTCACTAAGCTAAATGCAGTAACTTCTTATGGAAGGTTTATAACGCATCATATTCCTGCCTGAAGTTTCACAAGCAGTCTTAACTTTAAAATTATTTATCTGGTCATGTTCATTATTTTTAAATTGTCATATACGTCAACAACCTGTTTGTTAACCTGGCCCACACATACGTTACACTATATCTTCATGTCTTCTAAATTTAGGAATCATCTGAGTCGCCTTTAGCATTTATCAATAAACCCATCATAGTCGTTGTTGCTAATCGTATTTGGGTTTATGGATTGGTTTATCATATTAGCAGCCTAAAATGCGAACATAGTTTAGATAATAAGATTAAAAATTTAGGTACTATCAACTGCACTAGTAAAATAACTAAATCCTCAGGTAGCTGTTGGCCAAACAAACGTTTAAAATCAAAACCGCGTAGCCTACTAAAATTAACACTAAACGAATATTTCTGAATTGGAATTTATAATTAAATTAGGCGTCTCGGATTCTTTAACGTTATAAATTTCTGATGATTTCGAATCACCTAAAGCAACAATACCTATTTTTCCACTGACTAATCCTCAATCAACACTAACTAGTTAAATTTAATAGTTTCAGGATATCGTCATAAAGCATTGTCATAAATTGACAATCACGTAATATGACTGATAAAATTAATGAAACTATTAACGAAATCGGTCAACAAATTGACTTATAATTACCATTAAATGGTGTTGTTTTCTTGGTATCTTCATCCCTCACAGATGATTACAGTATGTTTCTCTCTCAGTTGCTCATTCAGTAAATATCTCAAAACCTTGTCAGTCTAATTGATGGGTTAGCGACACAATCATGCATGCAAATAATCAGTATAAGCAGTCGAGCAAATCTCCTGCAAACTGAAAACATCAATGTCGAATTTACCCCAACACTGACTAAGGTTCAAGCCATTATCATAGACATGAGTTGGGAGTGTACTCCCCCTGGTTACAACTTATGTTCTCCCTGATAATCACATGAGCATCACTCACTATTAATCATCTTGTAAAAAGTTATTTAGCTAAATACATCTTGCAGCACCACATCACTTCGTAATATGACCCATAGGCTTAACTGATTTTAATAACTTATAACCACTGTATCTCAATTAAATCGTATTCCGCCTTATAATAAACTGCATACTTGCAACTAACTTGTATGTCCAATCAGCCGGCAAGTATAAATACAAATAAATAGTCTGCCACAGATCAGAACATTGAGTCCAGAGCATGTCTCTTATGAATACACTCATGTTTAGCGATTTGTTCCTAGCTATCTGTCCAAAATTCATATAATTATCACTCACGTATTTAAATTTTATTTTGATAACCATTCATGTGTATTAGTAGTATTACTAAATTCTATCACAGTCAAGTTATTAACACGCATCGTTTTATTATTATTATTATTATTGTAATCCCATTTTTTATAGTTCAAATAATCTTCAACCAAATTTTCATTTTAAGCGTGTTAATCATGAAAGCAGATATTTTAAGATTATTACATGTATTTCCCGACCAGATGCTGTCGTCTTTTTTATTTATCTTTCAGCTTATCAATACCCGGAGGATACTTATTATCCTTGGTAGCCTCCGGCGCGCGACGATCCCATCCAATTTGGTATCGAACCAACATCACGTTGATTCTGGTGGGAGAGTAGTGTAGTGGCATTGGACAATAGCCACACAATCCACAAAGCTGTGAACACGAGACTACTCGGAAAATAGATATTCAATATTTAACTCGGGGAAATACCTAGCAATGGAGAAGGCGCGGAGAATGAGTTGAATGGACTGGGGTTGATCGAGTGGCATGGCTCGGCCATGCAGGCGTGGTCCATCTCAATGTTACTTTATATCTTCTATTCATATTAAATATATTGTTCTTTCTCTAGCCTAACCTTGTTCTACATAATGTATTGGTAATTGATACGATACAGTGAGTTGGTGTAGTCGATGGTGTGACTTCCACGTAAGATCTTATAGATTAGGCAGTTATATCATGACGAATCTACAAATTTAGGATTAGGTCTATTATTAGAGCAGTACTAATATCATAGTAGACCATAATTCTACAATTCTATGTGGTTGTAAGATCAATTATTGTTTGGATAGCTAAGTGGTCATATTTTTTAGAACTGTAAGATCGAAACCAAGGTTTGGACAGAAGAATAGCTGTCTAGGTGGGTCAGGTACGTGCCCTCGCCCGGTTGAAACCAAAACAAAGTGATTGGGTAAAATGACGGTTCAAAAATTCATTGCAAATAAAATTTACATTGTTACTTAAACAAATATGACTACTCAGCTATCCAACCAATAATTGTTCAATTAGTCAAACCCAAATTACAGTAAATAAGGAAGTTTATAAGGGATGAGAGAAAATTACCAATCGCAACAAATAAATGCTGTTCTACCCTGTCTAAATAGAGCACACACAGATTCGTTCAAAAGACAATATTTGATTGCTTTATAACACAGAGTGTTTCCAGTTCTGGAAGAGTGCCTCGATTTACAACCAAAAATGCACAATTCCAGTCAATACAAGCGACACAATCAAAAAGGGGAACAAACCAATATGGTTGCCGCCAAGATTAAGTATCAAGTAAAACAACATAAGTGCAGTTCAGAAACACGGAGACATAGTGAAGGCGTAAGAAAAATAGAAACTACGATGAAATACAAGTGTTACCAACTCTTTGGTCTTCAGTCTCGAGTAACAAGAGTACTATGTCTGCAGACTTATAGTAGTCCTTGTAGGTTGTTTCTTGATGAAGCATCAGATTCTTAAAATGTTCACTAATGAGGTTGGTACCACTTGTTCGGATAGAGTGTTTTATAATTTACTACTCGGTGAGAAAAAAGTGGCTTCACTCCGAGTTTACGAAATAGTGTTTTCTAAACCTTCTTGCTATGGTCTTGAAGATGATTGGTTCTGAAAGTAGCTAAAAGATAAGTTACATTAACACCCAAATCGTTATTAAAGATACATAATGCTGATATGAGGTCACCTTGCATCCTACGATACGATAAGGGGAAAAAGTCAGCCGTTTTAGGCGCTCATTGTAAGGGATTTTGGAACGATTCTTTACTAACATTGTTCTTATACGTTGAAGATGGCACAGGTTTTCAGTGTTTGACAACGGTTTAACCAGTAACACCTTCTAATATAACTCGTACCCACCAAGAGAAATCAAAAGACAGAATCGAAGAGATTGGAAGATATATTTGATATGATATCAATATATCGAGAATCGTCTGATCTAATCTGGCTAGCGATTGCCGTAAATGTTGAGCACGGCGTTCCCACCCGTGATCTGGTGCGGATGCATGACCGAGCGCCTTCAGCTAGGTGAGTCCACTAAAACTTATCTGGTCAGCATCCAATATTGGAAACTTACAGAGCAATTTATTTTGGGGATTTATTTACCGCTACAACGTCAAACGCACTCTAGCGTGCATCATCAACAAGATATGAACTGACTGTTTAAACACAGAATTCTAGGTGTGCTTTACACAAGTTTGATATAGAAATTCGCAACATCTCCTCGTCAAAGCATTTGAATCCTTGACGAAGTGATCACAACGCTCGAAAACCTTTAGCGGCTGCTGAGTTGGAATGAGTTGTTTTTAAGTCGTATCAGTAAGTTTAACTATGATTAAGACTGCATGAGACCAAAAATCTTTCAATAACATGTCACTGTCAAGTAACAGTAGAGCACTTAAGCAAATATGGCAATGAATAACGTTGGTCTGAAATGACAATATTGAAAATTGGATTAGATAAACAGTAGTGAAAGGCGGGTCAGCCAGTTTGCCTCTCATAGATGACGGGCAATTCTAATGATAAGGTGAACCCGGGTAGGTATAAGCTGTGCTACGTTTTAACTTTATATCGTTTATTATGTATCAAGATGGTAGGTGAGTGTCCCTTTTACTGCATTCCGTGAATTACCCACACAGTTTTCTCATAGACCTCGAGTCGATTATTTAAGTGGTCAAAAAGTAAAGACAGGCTGCTACTAGTAATCAGTGAGATAGTTTTTTAAAGAATGACATAAATACAATAAGTTTCTCCCCAAAATAGCTTCGTCGAGTGGATTCATTTGTTTGTGTCCTTTAAAATCCACCCAGTAAATGCATCTTTAAATTGTACTTTTCGTCACATGTATAAAGTAATCGACCTCAAATTATTCGTCATAATCCATTGAATACATGTCGTTTTCATTGTTCTTCATTGTGCACGTTGTCATCTAACAACTCACCACAACGACGATTGCTAAAAGCTGTTATGGATTAACACAACATTTAGAATTATCCTGTTCTAAAATACATAAATGTCCACAAAAAATGTTCATTTCGCTCATAAGTTTTAGTAAAAAGTTATGGCAAAAACTCATTGCAAAAAACATTTCTGTTCAGGTCATCACAGGTGATAGATTCGACGACGTGGTATGAAGTAGCTTGACACATTTACTATTAGAGCCGCGTTAGTCTACCCTTTCCTGCTTTATTTCAGATCCGAAAAGTTTCTTTTTTCGTCTAAACGCCACGTGTGCAAGTAAGAGTTGTGGACATCTGTTAATAAATGCTTAAGTCAAATGAATATAAATAAGCCATATTTAACACCCTTCCTATTATGTGTTTTGCTTTAATATAAGTTTTATTATCCCATATTTTTTCATACCGCCTCTATGTCTTTATAGCATACTTCTCCCGTCTTTTACCATTGCTGCTATATCGTTTATACCAGTTTCGTCTCTAATCAAGTGGAAAGTGTGCAAGCTGTTTCTGATTGTCCGCGGAGTCATAGTACTGGGTTTGTATTATAATCACTAGTAACAGTCTAATCTAGCGACCAGTTACTGCTTAAAAACTAGTCTTTTCACGTCATACTCGTGGGAGCCTGTTGAATCTAACGTACAGTTTACTTTTGATAAAACCACATGTTCCGGTTTCTGTGACTATTTAGACAAAATGTAGCACTGGAAAGTGTTTTTCTACCTCGCGTTTACTAGAATCGAACATTAAATTTCAATGACATTAAATCGCCTTGGTCATTCAACTTTGTTTTAGAAACATTTTGTTCGATAAAATCATAATCAGCAACGTTCGGGTTGGTAAAAGTATTTTAACTAGTGAAATATAGTTAATCCATCAGATGAATCAGAACTGATTAAAGTAGGTCCAGTGTTACTCTTCTACCTTGTACTCCAACACTGGTTAGATGTATGCTGATTACAAAAAGCCAGAGCTCAAGCATACTGAGTAAAGATTCTCTCCAACTGTCATTCTGAACAGTGTAAGGAAGTAACTTTTTCACGACTAGGCTCAAGAAATGCTAAAATTCAGTATTTGACAATCCTCCATGATATGACCCAAACTTATTCGGTTTCCTTGTCTCCGTTTTTTGACCATCCTGTTTCGCATCTCCTATGTATTTAGTTGTTCAATGTCACTCGTTGCTGACATCCGCTTTTTTTGTCGGAAGGTGTTGTAACTAATGCGAAGTTCTGGTTTTTATTAACATCCGAACTTACATTTGAGCACTCGTAAAATGATGGTAAATCCTCATAAACCTAATGAATTGATGTAAAACGTTGTATAGACAGTACTTAAATAGTCAGTCAGTCGGTAACAACGTAGAACTTCGTACGTACGTACATCAGTTCGAGTTGCCACACCACATTAGCACAGAGATGCACTTGTCGATTCAAATCCCGTAGTTGTAGAGGTAGCAAGAGTATAAGCAGTAATAGGGAAGATTAGGGTTTGGAGATGTTATTTAAAGAGTATAATCCAGTGAAGTAAATTTGGAAAGATGAAAAAAGGGACACGAAGAATTCAGAAGATTAGAATTTGGGAGAACATAGAGAGTGGATGCACCTGCGCCATTGCAAACGATTTTGAGCCATGTCATTCAGGGTCTCTAACCATCGGTTGCTGTCATCTCGCGGTCCCCAACCAGGTAGTCTACACCTACCAACATGACTCAGTTCATTTGTCAGTGACTTCATGGACTTGTGCCATGTTTTGGTTTGGCCGCCCCTAGCTTTCTTCCAACCTACTCCTATACCACTGAACATAGCACGTCGAGGCAGTCGGTGGTTGGGCATACGTAACACGTGTCCCAGCCATCTCAACTGATGAAGTTTCACTACTTCATCAATTGATTTGCCATCCTTACCTAGTACCCGTTTCCTAACAACTGTGTTACTTACTCGATGGTCCCATGATATACGAGCAATGTTTCGAAGACACCTATGATCAAATACTAGTAACCTACGGATATCCTCTACTCTTACCGGCCATGTTTCACTGCCATAAAGTAGGACGGAACGAACTGCTGCGCAGTAAACACGTCCTTTGGTTGATAGACGGATATCTCGCCTACGCTATAAATGACGCAAGTTGGCAAAAGCTAATCGAGCCTTCTGTATCCGTGCTGAGATTTCGTCACACGCCAGACCACAAGGGCTGATGAGACTTCCAAGATAAGTGAAGCGGTCGACACACTCAACTACTTCACTCCCTATCACTAGTTCGGGTGTCGATGTAACCCAATCCTGAAGCAACATTTTGCATTTCGAGGAAGAGAATCGCATCCCGAACATGCTTGCATTGTTGCTTAGAGTGGTCAGAAGACTCTGCATTTTGTCAGCGTCTTCACCAAATAAAACTATGTCATCCTCATATTCTAAGTCAACAAGTGAACCTCCTGGTAGAAGTTCAACCCCTGTATATTTAGATGAGGAGAGTGTTATCTCTAAAAGTACGTCAATGACAAAGTTGAACAAGAATGGGGAGAGTGGACAGCCCTGACGAACACCACTTGAGGTGATCAATTCTGATGACAGTTCGCCATAAGCTCTCACTCTACCAGTTGTGTTCGAGTAGAGAGCCTTTATAAGGTTAATGTACTTCTTTGGTACTCCTTTCAGTGACAAACACTGCCATAGAACCTCACGATCAATAGAGTCGAATGCCGCTTTAAGGTCGAGAAATACTACTATTGTGGGGCGTCTGAATGTGTGTCTATGTTCTAGAACCTGACGTAGTGTGAATATCTGATCTATACAACCACGTCCAGGTCGAAAACCAGCCTGGTTTTCTCTAGTCTGCTCTTCACGAGCTTTAGTTAGGCGTCGAAGTATTATTGAGGCTAATATTTTAGACACTATATTAGTCAAACTGATTCCTCTGTGATTGTCACAAGAGGACTTTTGTCCTTTCTTAAAAACTGGCACAATCAGTGATTGAGACCAGTCAGATGGGATTACGTCCAGTTCCCAAATTCTACCTAAGACCTCGGTTAATCTCATTGCTAATACTGGACCACCATCCTTAAAAGTCTCAGGAGTAAACCTGTCAGGGCCTGCTGCTCTCCCTCGCTTCAGATTTCCTATGGCTTTTTCAACTTCGTAAAGGGACGGACGACTTACATTAACTTGCCATTCAGGTTGACTGGAGATCGTGGGAAATCGAAGTGTGGCTGAAGGCCAGTTGAACTGATCCCTAAAGTGTTCTGCCCATCGATCCAATCTCCTGGATTGAGAATGAATAATATGTCCATCTTTTTCTGAGATTGTTTCGCTAACGGTCGGGTTCCTAATACCAGTTTCCTTAACAAGTCTGAACAGTTGCATGCTGTTACCTAATGCAGCTGCCTTTTCCATCTCTCTTGCTTTCGGCTCCCAAATGCCCTGGTATGACCGAGAGCGGGGTGGGTCCGCCCTCCCTCTCGAGATACTCTCACACGGCCATGTGTATACAGCCTCTGTCAGGGAAGTCCTACTCACTGCCTTCTCGTGGCGGGGGTTTGTTTACGAAAATGAGACGACGAAAAGCAAATGTCCGGCGCTTTGACCGGATCCCAAACCAATGGTGCACATGGGCTCCAGTATGCTGCAGGAACGAATGGCGTTTGAATCAATCGTTGGTCACCGGCTGCCATGGGACTGCATCTCCTCACGATGCTCCACTGCTTTGTGGGTTGGACCTATAGGTCAAAGGCTCGGGGTGTGGCCCCCTGAGATAACCATCTGCTTCGGTTTGGGCACCCGGGCAGTATCACAGCCCACACGCAAATGATGAACTCTCTATAAATATGGAAACTACTTTTCTCGCTTCGAATAACAATCAAATGATTCAAATTATTATCATTACTATTATTGTTATTATTATTACCACTGTTATTATTATTATTATTATTATTACTATTATTATTATTATTTACTACGACATTATTCACTCTCTTTTATTCCTACTCTGTCTATACTTATTTTTTCGACTTATACAGCAGCTCGTCTTTGGTGGAAATTCGACTGTATCTAAACGTTCCCGAGTCACTGTCCGGTTGAAAATTGTATGTTACCACTGAATATGAGTACTGAAGCAGTTTTTCTGAAACCACGTGCAACATTCAAACTGGCTGCCTTCAACGTTCGCACGCTTATGCAGGTCAGACAACAGTAAGGGCTGGCTATGTCTTTGGAAAGTCTTCATATCGATGTCTGCTGTCTATACAAAACCCGTATTCAAGACTTTAGTGAAGTACTACAAATCCCCTCTCCATCTGTCGCTTCGAAAAGCTTGTTTTACGTGCGTTTATCCGGGGACCCTGTGGCATCTTCGTCTGGTCTTGCTGGCGTTGGTGTCGCATTAAGCGCTAGAGCTGAGGTAGCACTCATCGATTGGTTCCCGATTAACAGTCAGTTATGTGTTGTTAGATTAGAGAGTTTCATCAAGCTGAGAAAAAATCGGCGTGAGAAACGATGTATTTTCGTCATCTCCGCTTATGCCCTGACAGATTGCAGCCCGGATGCAATCAAGGATGAGTTTTACCACCAGATATCTGTTCT